AAAAGTTTTCCCAGGCTCAGCGTTCGTATTTTTTTTTTCCGATTTCAGGCTCAAAATGTTATTAATTTGTTAATGCACAGTAGTATATTACCGTACTGTACTGTATTATGAAGGGTATGTCAAACGGCAAACCTACTGAACATAGGTACAGGTAAGATTTGTTCGTTTTTCTATTTTTTAAAAACAAAAACCTTATTTGACATTTTATCTCAGTCTCAATGTTCTTATTTTGTTCTTGTACTACACCCAAGTGTGATGTCTTTTGAAGTAGGCCTATGGTCTTTCGTCGTCTTCTTTATTAGCTGATCGTCATGGAATAAATTGAGAAAGATATGGAAATTAAGTAAGGCCTTCAATTCTGGCGCAATTACAACAAAGAATAGTATTATCTAATTTAAGTTATCTTCTTGGTAATAAATAAATCATACCGGTACAGGCCCTATCCTGATTTTTAAAGAAATTATTTTAATTGGTTTTCTGGGAAAAAATTGTGAAATGTATTTTGCATCTTTAGTATTTTTCATCATCCATAATAATTTTTCTCATTTTTGTTTCTCTCTGACATCCTTCTCCATAATTGGTCTACGACTGTTTATCTGTTTATTTATTTATACATTACAACATTTTAGGATAAAGAAAACAACGATCGAGGAATCTCCGAGGCAGAAAAGAACAAACATTAGCAAAAACAAGAAAAAAGTAAAACAAAAGAAACACACACAATAAAGACAATTATACAAACTACATAAAAAACAAAAGCAGATAGTAAATATTTAAAAAGAAATTAGTTCAATAATTAAAAAAATACAGGCCTACAATTTAAGGGTTTTTTGCAATAGGCCTACATACAATAATTATTAAAAGCATATAGGCCTAATCAATAAATTTTTTACAATTCATTGAAATTTTTAATTCTAACTGATGATATTATTATCATCATCATCATCATCATCATCATCGTCGTCGTCGTCATCATCGTCATCATCGTCATCATTATCTTTGTTATTATTTTTAAGTCATTTATTAGACCTATTATTAGGACTAATTAGACCTCTAAGATTATTATTCGCTATTATCAGGCCAAGTATAATCTTAATTAGGGTTATTATTTTTAGACGTATTATTAATATTATAGACAATATGCTATGATATAAATGTATCATATATTTATACGTGCATTAATGATACTGACGTAACAGACGATGAATGATGCCTTAGACGTATACTTAGGCCTATAACATAGTGGAAAGATGAACATGGATAAATCATTCGATATTATCAAGGATCAATATCGTCCGAATGACGCCATCCATATTTCGTAGCAGCTATGGATCGTGAATATTTCTAAAGAGAGTTTATTGACAAGATAATATATGTCACATTAATCTCCCATTGGAACTTCAATCAAAATTCAAATTCTATATTCAGTAGATTTATTTACAGTGTCATCTAAGCCCGAACGTCATAAACCCGGCCACCAATTAAACTCAGACATGCCAGCATTAATCAACCAATCCAATGGGGACTTTCTAATTTGATAGATAATTTGGTGCAAACAAAAGGGGTGTAATATTAATGGAGTGGATTAATTCGGGGTTTAGCGTTTAAGGTACCTTTGCATCGGGTCGTCAATCATTGGCAAGTCAATATGATGGGCTTGTATCCACCAAGCCTCGACATTTCGATGCTGAGTGGCTAGCTTGGATAAGGCCTGCCTGAGTAAGTTCCTGTCAACTACTGTTGATTGATGGATGCTCTTGGTTTTTTAGGATGCCCACTATATATGTACTCAATTGACCGAATTCGGTGAATTTAAACTTAATAAACAATATGTTTAACAGTTGAATGATTTTATTGCTAGTAAGTAGGTGATGAATGCTTCACAACTGACTGACGACATCTAATTTTTCTAATATGAACTTTTATGATTGTGTTGATCAAACTACGCAATTGTAATTGCTCGATAAAAATGACTAAAATTTGTTTTTCTTGTTTGTTTTTCCTAAATTACTGGATAGTCACACGTAACTCATTTTCAGCTAAAATCATAAACTTTTTGGCGAATGTATTCGTGTTTTTCAACAAAATTACCTATTTTTCTGAATGGTGAATAAGGTTTTACTGGTTAGTCCAAATAATTTAATATATGCCTGTTAAAAAGAAGGAATCCATAATAGAAAAAGGCTTACCGCCCGTTAAACTTAAACATCAATAGGCCAACCTGTAAGTCTATAAAGTGCAGATGAATAAGCTTACAAACCTAATGTTTTGTAAGCCGAAGAAAACCATGGTCTGGTCGATAATTTCTTTGAAAATAGATACGGTAAGTGTTCTATCTATAGTCCACATGACTCGTTCCTATAATTCCTTGTTTCAACGCCTTTATATATATATATGTATATATATATATATATATATATATAATATATATACACACACGGTTTTCAATTTGTAATAGA